TTGTGTACAAGTGTGTATCTAAAAGAGTGCGTGAGCATGTGTGTGTTTATGTCTTGCCTTGGTAGGCAGGACAGGGGTTCCCACATGTCCATTCTGCCTGCCTGGCTGAAGGTGACAGTTCCATGTGACGTTAGGCACTGTGAGGAGTGAGCTGGTGACCAATCATTTCTTATTAACTAATTTTTCTCTCCTTTGCCCATTTGCATGATATTGAAAACTCTTTATTCTGGCAGGCACGAACATCAGAGGCTAAGGGACTGCCACCATCCTGCATGGTATCCTGTGGGGATGGCAGAGGTCTGCTTGCCCAGGGTAAGCCTGTGCTTGCCCTTGTGGCACAGAGCAGGTCCTCTTCACCATGTCCAGCTTGGTTTTCTGTGCCCCCTTGCTGCAATGAAACATGGGCCCACCATGCTGAGGACACGGATTTCCTGAGAACCTCCAGTCCTGAGGTCTCCCGTATTTTAATTGTCTCTGCCATGGAGCAGGGCCTTGGACATGTAATGTTATGCGCAGAACTCAAACAGGGATAACCAGGAAAACCCCATGATGACCCCACAGATGGAGTTCTGGGATCAGCACCCAGAACCTTGCACACAGCATGGCCCCTCCAGGCCACAGACTGCAGGTAACCTCCCTCCATCGTCCAGTTTTCTCTCCATCAGGGGTGCCTGGGTACCCCAGGATGGCAAGGACTCCAGCACCCCTGAAGCGAGGGTGGCATGCAAGTTTGAGAACGGCCAACAGTGGTGGTGCTGAGCCTGTTTCCTGGGATGGAGGCAATCTGTGCCAGCACCCCCTGATGCAGCAGGAAATATGCCTGTGCCTCCCAGGATGCCCTCTTCTTGGAGCCCCTGGGGAGCTAGACACCTCCTCCTTGTACAGTGAGGGGCCTGGTGAGCTCCCAGAGCAGAGGAGTTGGGGGGCTGGTCTCCTGTAACTCACAGTCACTCCTGGCCATGCTCATGGGCCTTGCTTCCTCCAAGAATCTCAGCGTGCACCTGGCTCTGGTCAGCTGCAACCAGAAGGAGAGGTAAAGCTCTGGCAGAATGCAACCCTGTGCTTTCACTGCTCTGGGCCAGACATGGCAAGGAGAGCAGCAAAGGGCTGGGAGGTCTGACTTCATGCACTGGATGGTGAGGAGCAGAAAGGGACAGTTGTTGGTGCTGTGTACTGATTTATCACCACAGCAAGGATCCCAAGCTCCTCTGTTTTACCAAAGAACCTAAATCTCAAACTCTTTCTTCCCCAAACTTGAACCAAAAAGTCTTCCTCTCAGAGCTTAGGACAGAGCATTAATAGTGGCAAGAACCATGAAATTGCTTGTCTGCCTGCAGTTCTCTTTGCTGTTGTGTGGTGTTTCCAATAACTTCTGCAGCAGAAAGCCCTGCATGCTTTAGATGATTATTTAACAAACAAACACTGAGCTTCCCATCGCCCCAGAGTCCTTCCTCCAGCAACAGGCATTTGGAAAACATTAAGCTGGCTTCCTCTCCTCGCCTGACAACCTGTGAGGAAGTAGCCAGACCAGAAGAGATAAGGAGAAGAGTAAGGTTTTTCATTAAATCCTTTTCAACCTTTATCTCAGGCATAACAATCTGCATGAAGTAGAAATACAATTTTCAGGTCCAGGGAACTGGAGTATAATTTTGGCCAGTCTTTCAATGTACAGGTTTATCTGAGTGGGTTTATTATTTTAAGATGTTCTTCTGCTAAACCTCCTGCTGGACTCCTCTGTGTTTGTTTTGCTGTAGCCAGACCAGCCTCCTTGCTATTGCTGAAACACTGCATGCCCAGTCCCACCCCAGGGCCTTTGCATCGCTGTTTCCTCCACCTGCCTCTCTTTCCCAGATCTCCCCATGGTACTCCCTTCTCCCATGCAGACCTCAGTCCAAATGTCTTCTCCCAGAAGAGGACTTCTGAACTGATCTTTGGTGATCATTCACCTCTTGCTCATTGTCTGTCTCCGTGATAACCTGGTCCCTCATCCTCCTAGAATGACAGTGCCTGGCACACAGTAGGCACTCAGTAAATACTTGCTGGCAGAACTTTACTGGGAAGCTACAGGGAAGTCGCTGAATATGCTTCTTTGGCTGCTTCTTGCTTCTCTTTCAACATTGTTTTATGGTCACATTAAGCGATTCGTAGGCTGGTTTTGTCCCCATAGATGCTGCACATTAAAAACATAGATACACAGATTCTCAGTATCGCTCCTCCTTAGCAACCAAATGTCTGCTGTGATCTTTACCCTTGTGTTTATCATCCATAAAACTAAAATCCCCTTCAGGTTGCTCCTGCGCTGAGAACTGTGGAAACGCCTTCAGTGAGAGCTTTGAAGGGTTATCTAAAACCCGTCCCACCAACTTCCCCTCCTCTCTTCCAGCCACTCCTGCCCCAGAAGTGCCAGCGCCCGCACTAATGCAGGCTTGCAGGAAAAGAAAGCACTCCTAACAGGTTTGCACCACCCCATCATTTCCCTCCCTTCACTCTACTTCTGCTATCCTTTGAAGTACAGTTAAGTTCGTTCCTGTTTACATTTCATGTTGATCTTTTTCCACATTGTTCACTGAATGTTTTCTGAGCATGTAGAAATGAACATGGTCCAAAAGTTCATCCGTTTTTCCTCCTCCTCTTTCTCAGCCTGTTCATATCCAACTATCTCTTCTTCTCTGTGCCAATATGCTCCCTGCAGGTTGTTAATCTTGTCTGTTTCTGGCTTACCCGTCCTTAAATCAAAAATAGCTAGCAAACACATGCACATTTCCTTCAGAGAGCCCTTCCCAGTCCTCATCTCAGACCAGGAAATTTGTATTTGTAATCCCATGAAAAGTTATTGGAACACTAGCAGGTTAATTCCAATCTATCACTTTCTGTGCAGCCCATGGTGAGAATAAAGTCCCTAAGGCATATTTGTAGTTGTGCGGACCCAAGGGGGTCCTAAGTCCAGCTAGGGTGATGGTTAACTGGGACAAAGGCCTCAACCCAGGGCTGAACCCTGGTTTTATTAATTCTCAAGGAGGGAAGTGAGTACTGTGAGTGCCGTGCCTTGAGCTGGGCTAGGAAGGTGGCCTGAAATCACCTTTGCAATATGCAGAGAGAAGGATATGCAGAAGGAGTAATCTGCGAGACACAGCTGAGGTAATATCTAATGTTTTGGGCTCAGAGCTTCAGCTCTGATGTGTAACTTTTTATGCCTTGGGAAGCGATAGCCTCTTATCTCAAGGCTCTCCCTCTCACCGGGCTCACACATGGCTTTGGGGGCTATGGGGTGGGGAAACACTGACCTGTCCCCTTGCTTCAAAGACTACACATCAGCACCTCGGCTGGACTGATTTGCATTGCTTAAAGCCAATTGAAGGGATAAAGAAAAGTCCTAGCCTTCTCTGTACACATCAATACGTGGAAATAGGGCCAAGTATAGCCAAAATGGAGATAATTTCTCTTCCTTCAAAGAGAGTTATCTAGGTGGTCCTCCGCAATCTCCTTATTTTATACTCTTCTCATACAAAGGGAGGCACACTGCAGACACTCTTTCCTCATTGAACAGTGAAAAACATCATTCCATATCAGTTCATGGGAATCTTCCTTGGTGCTTTCACAGCTGGGTGTTTCATCCACGGGATGAATATACCATGGTTTATGTAAACACCTTCCTGTGAGTTAGTCTCTCTTCGGTTTTCAATCTTTTGTAATTGCAACCACTACTGCAATGAATCGCCTGATGTGGACGCACTTTTGTATTGTTAAACTGCATCTCTATCATAAATTACTCCAGTCAGTATTCATGGGTCAAAGGCAAGTGCATTTGTAGTTTTGTTAACAGTTGCCATGTTCTCCTTGTCAAGAGTTAGAGCAACTTGGATTCTCACTGGTGAGCTTGAAAGTATCTCCCAAATAGCTTCAGAATGTTTCCTAATATTACAGGTGAGAAATGACACCCAGGGCCATTTTAACTTGCAGTTCTCTAAAGAAGAAAGAACACAGGCTATGGATTTCAGGGTCATTTGTATATCCTCTCATGGAGAATTTTCTATTCATGTCTTCATCCATTTTTATGCTCAACTTCCACCCCTTTTCCCTTCAGTTGCTAGAAGTCTGTTTAGAGATATTAGTTTATACAGCACATGTTGAAAGTATGTTCTCTCAGTTCCTTCTTTGTCTTTTGCTTTTGTTTATTGTGTATTCTACCAGACAAACTTTTACAAAATTGAGATATTCACATTTCTCACTCTCTCCCTCTTTTGAGTCTGGACTGTGAGGAAGGTTTAAAATGTCTCTCCTTGCCATACGGTTGTAGAGGAATTCACTCACTTTTCTGCACATTTGTACACCTTCACTTTTTACATTCAGGCTTTTAATTCTTTTGGATATGACTCCTGTGTGTAGTGAGATCTAATTTTATTATTAACCTAAAACGTGTGCCATTGATTAAAAGCCTGTTTTCAAAAGGGCTGCTGGGAGTGAGGGAAATCCTGAAACAGCAAGTCAGGAGGAAGGCAAATGTGGCACCTTTGGCAGGCAGGTCCTTCTCTCAGACAAATGCTTCTCTCACAGCTTCCCCACAAGGATGTCTTTTTAGCCCATTTTCAGGAGCTGTAACAAAATACTGGAGGCTGAATATACAGAAAAGAGGTTTCTCTAGCTCACAGTTCTGGAGGTCTGAGAGCATGGTGCCAACTTTTGCTTGGTGCTCCTTAGGGCCACATGGTAAAGACATCACAATGGGGGTACCATGAACAAGAGTGACCCCTAGCACAGGTGAAGAGGGATTTAGGGATGTACCACACTCTTGGATAACCACACTTGTGAGAACTGACACAACTCCACACAGCAGACCCTCTCCTGAAGTGCGGCACAGCTCTCACCTTAGACAGAATCCCAAATCATGTTGGGTGTCACACTGGGGACCAAGTTCTGCACCTGCCCCTGGGGGGACAGCCACCTTCACACCATAGTGATGTCACCATTCTCAAAGGGACTACTCCCACACCAAGAGCAGCCCTTGCTCCCGAGGCCTGAGCTTGCATCTGAGACCCTGTATCTAGAAGTCAAGGCCAGGGGATCCATCGTCCATGACAGGTGAGGTCCAAGCAGGGGCTCTGGACACCAAACAGTTACTCAGGACAGAGTTGTGTTGGACAGGTAGCAACCAGAGTTCCTAATGTCCTAGGCCCAGCTAATCATCGCCATTTGAGCTACACAGTTGGAAGTCAGCAAAGCAGCCAGGCCTGAAGCTCTGGCAGGAAGGACAAGCAAACAGACCCACACACCATGGACAGCACCTGTACCTGGGAGAGTCTGCAGCACAGGCCTGTGTCTCTGCACCCCAGGCTACCCACCTTTCCTGGCCTTGTCCTTCTCTCTGATCCGCTTGGGTGGGGAATCCCTGAAAATGTTGACCTGAGGCTTTCTTGAGATGTTAAGATTTTTTGGTTCATTCTGATACCTGAATTCCTCCAGAATCCTCCTCTGTGGTCTCCTCTAAATTGTCCTCCAGAGTGCTAATGAAGAAAGGACCTCAATTCTCCAAAGACTTTCCTTGGCCAGACCCCTAGACATGCCTCCTTTACCTCCCTCTGCCCAGTGAGGCTTGCTTTGTGCTTACATCCATCTTGCAGATGGGGAGCTGCATTATGTGTGGAAGCCTCATGGTGGGTGCTGGAGCCAGTGACAGGGCAGGATTTGAACCCAGTACCCATGTTTCACAACCCCCTCTATTCGCTCTGTGGTTTGATGAGCAAGAAGTATTTGATTGGCTTAAGATTTTGAATTTTTACTTGCTCATTGCAAGACTCCTAGGAAGTCATTTGTGCCCCTTCCTAGGTGCACTCCTCTCCAGGGCATTGAAACCAACCCCAGGACCATCCAGCAGGGGAATCTGAGAGCTGAACAGGTTAAGCTGTCCCAGTGACACCTTCAGAAATAACTGCTCTGTGTTTTCAAAAGGTCGTGCAGTATTAAGTAGGAAAAGTGATTTCCTAGGTAGACTGGGTGCCAGTCACCAATTTAAAAAGCAAACAGTGTGGGCTCGCTACAGTTAAAAAGTCCTGGGGTACAGCTGACTAATATTAAATACAAAATGTCCTTCCATCTCTAGCATTCATTTGCCAGTCACATTGTCAGTTAAAAGTAGTCATTTTGAAAGCAGTAATTCATTCTCTACGGTCCTTCCTTAACACAATTTTCAGCCTGCAATTTAGATGATAGGAAAATTACAACCTCAGTGCACTATATTATGTGATATAAATGTTATTGCAATTAAGCCTGCTAGGAACACGCACATGCATGTGCACACACACACACACACACACACACACACACACATACGCGCGCATGCATGTGACCCAAATACAACTGCTCCAGGATGCAGTGTAAGTGACTCTTACCCATAAAGCAAGGGCCTCCTATGACTCTGCCAAACGGTTTTCACCAGGAAGCCAAGTGCCTATGTTTGGACAAAAACTGTAGTGGAATGACAGTAAGTAGGAGATAACCAGAGCAGATCTGAATCTTTCCTTTCCTAGGTAAGCTATGAGCATTTTGGACTGCTTTAATGTCACAAGGGTTACTGGCCAGCAACTATAAAAGCTTGAAGTTCAGGGTGATCCAAGATACTTCTACCTCAACCACAAAGCCAAACAGGACCCATGGTCTGAGCCATCCAGAAATCTTTATTCTGCTCCCTCCTTGACAGCTCGGCCACTTATGCTGCCACCAAGGCCACTCCCAGCATCCTCTGGGCCAGCAGTGATGGCCCAGCATCCTCTCCCATTCTTAAAACTGCCGTGCAGCTGTGGATCCCATGAGGCTGTGCTCTTGTTCAGAGCCTGAAGAGACTCTCAGATGCTTCAGCATCTATACCATCACCACTTCCGGTTAGGAAGGACACTCCAGACCCATCTTCCACCTAAACTCTTTCTGTGGATGTTGTTGGTCATCCTTTAGCAGCCACTTCAGATCCTCCCTCTTATGGGTTGCCTGATGCACTAACATCTCAAGGGAGCAACCCCCTTCCCACTACCTGCTGCCTCCACCGTGGTGCTGAGCACTACTAGGTGTGACCACCGCTGGGTACTTCTTGGGATCAGGGGCTACAAGAGACCCAGTCTCACTCAATGTCAGGGTGTTCCCGCCATATCAAGAAAAAGCTAGGAAACACAATGCAAGGTTTCAGAACATTGGGATGTGTTATGATATGTGTCTGGATGTCCCCCCAAAGCCTCATGCAGTCATGGGTGAGCTTCTGTAGTTTGTAATTGATTCATGGTCCAATGTTGGGATTATGGGTGTGAGTGCTACACCCACCCTGGGGCAGGTAGACTGCATACAATATAAAGGATATAAAGAGACTTGCTCTCTGCTGCTCCTCCTTTTTTTGCTCTTATTGCTTTTGCTGTTTTCAGTGCCAGGAACTGTTGCCCTCTGCCACACCACCCTACGCTGGAGCCAGCCAATGGACTGAAACCTCCATGAAATGTGGGCAAAATAAACCTTTCCTTCCTTAATTTTGGGCATCAGGCATATTGTCTCAGTAACAAGAGAAAGGTAACCAAGACAGAATGTTACATGGTGACTGTCTTTTTTGATTGCTTTAGATTCTGTGGCTGTGTTCATAGCCCCCCTTGGAGATAATGTGAGGATGTTAAATGCAAAGTGTTGTACAGTACAAGGTTAGGCTTCACAGCTTTCCTGCTGCACACCCTGAGAGCCTTACATGACAAGCCCTGTTCTTCAACCGCTGTAAGACCCCTTCCCCATCTAGCTGTCAGATGTAATTGGTAAATGTTAATTAAATTGCATTTGAGAAAGCAAAGATCGCTTTAGATTCCAAGTAAATAAAAAAGGACTAGCTATTTCATGTTATTTTTAACATTATATTTTTATAGTTTCTTTCTTTCTTTCTTTCTTTCTTTTTTTTTTTTTTTTTTTAGTACCGGGAATTGAACTCAGGACCTTGTGCTTGTCAGGCAGGTGCTGTGCCACTGAGCTATATGCCCAGCCCCAACATTACATTTTTCAATCATAACTTTCACCCTAGACAAGTTAGTCAGATAAAGCTAGATGCTATAATAAGTACATTAAATGGCTTAAAACTATAAAAGCCTTTCTCCCTAAAGCAGAAAAGCCAAGAAGGTATTCATCTCTCCTTCATGCAATAATTCCAGGATAAGGCCATTGTAAAGCAGTGGTCTTTTTCAGTCCTCTGCATCAAGTTAGGAAAGGGGAGGAGCTCTCCTGGTGGGAAGTTTTTGGCTCATGCCCTATTGGCTGGAAATAGACACATGACTGCAGGGCTGCTGGGAAATGTAGGCCACCTGTGCTCAGGAAGAAGAAAAAACTGGTATAGTAAGCACAAATTCAGTCTCTCTAACATTTTCATTAAACTTAAGAATTGTACTGTGTATGGAAAAGACATATGGAAAGTGTTGATAAGGAAAATGATGACAATCCTAATAAATATGATGGCCTGAGTGCTGACTGTACACCAGGTACTGGTCCTTACATACATAGCACCCCTTTTGCTCTTGAATAATGTGAAAAGCAGATATTCGTATCTCTTCCTTAAAGATGGAAAAACCAAAGCTCAGAGTGGAAAAGTAATTTGAGGTCATAGCATAGAGTAGGAATTTGAATTTGTGTCTGGGATATAGTCTGGGACTTTTCTCCTATTTTCTTTACAGTTAACCTTAAAAAGTGAAAAAAGTTCTACATATAATAGAGTCAATTTCAGAGAACAACAATATGTAACATGTTAGAGACTAAGGTGGTTTTGGGAAGACATCCACTTAACCTCCTTTCTTGACAGGTGAGATATTAAGGCCCAGAGACCTCCCATAAATGACAGAGCCCCAAACTGCCATCAGATTTCAAAAGCTGATGTCTTGCCCAAAGGAGTCATGAAGCCAGTAGATTAAACAATAATTGTATGGATAGAAGTGATTCTCAGAGCTAACTTTGGATTGGTAGGTGAGTATACCCATGCTGAGCACTAAACAGGCTGACTTTCTAGTACTGTTCTGTGCTAGATCTTAACATAAGCAACTTTTAAAAACTCTTGAGATGGTAAAGAGAAGATGGTGCACAATGGCCTCAAAGTCTTGTGTTCTTAAATTACACAGGTATTTGGGGAGAACTGGAGCCTCTGATAGCTCACATGGCAGTGAGCTTGTGTCTCCTTGTTCAGGTTTAGGAAGCAATGAGTCCTAACCAACCCAGGCACAGGGAACTAAATTCCCTGGGGTTCCTCCAGTTTCCTGTGCCTGAGAGCAAGACCAGCCTCTCACCACTCATCAACCACTCTGCATCACAACACCAGATATGACTCGTAGACATTTAATATATTTTATGTGTAAATGAATTTGAGAAGAGACAGAAACGTTTGAGGTTTATCCCAAGTGAATCAAAACTTTCCACATATATACAAGAGTGTCTACTTTTTTCCAGTGTCTCTATCGAAGTTTGTACATGTTATGATTTAGACCTAAAATGCCCCCCAAAAGTCTCATGTTTGGAGATGGGGCCTAGTTGGACAGGTGGTTCACTTGGGCATGACCTGGAAGGCTGTATTCTTTTTTTTTTTGGTTTTTTGGTTTTTCTCCAGTACCGGGAACCGAACTCAGGACCTTGCGCTTGCCAGGCAGGCGCTTTGCCGCTGAGCTAAATCCCCAGCCCCAAAGGCTGTATTCTTGTCCTACACTCTTCCCTTCTCTTTCTGCTTCCTATTTGCCATGGTGAGAGTATCTTTCTCCTGCCAATTCCTTCCTCCATGTTGTTTCTGCCTCAGAGCCACACGATCATGGAATGAACCCACTAAAACTGTGAACCAAATAAACCTCTCCTCCTTTAAGTTACAAGTGTCAGGTATTGTATCCCAGCAACAGGAAACTGATTGGTACAGTACAGTTTTTATTCTTCTGGTAAGGATGAAATGGCCTCTTACCAACCTAATCTACTTATAATATAGTCAGATCTACTTCTATAGCATCGGCAAAAATAAGTCAATTTTATTTATCATTTCATCCAGTCTTTGAGCTTTACTCCCCTAGAAGTCTGATTGTGCAAGTTCCATATTTTTCACTCTATTTTCTGTATGTTACATAAAAATAATGCATCTCAATGGGAAAACTACAACAAAGAAAAACTAGTGGTGTATGGATGGGATTCCTCCCCACATTTGTGCCTGGATTATGCCTTCTTCCAACCCAAGAGCCACTTTTGACCTGACTTAAAGTTACACAGATTTTTAAAGCTGTGAGAAATGCTATTAATTCAGAAAATTAGTCCTGACTTACCTGTTTTTCAATTAATTCACAGACGCAGAGCTAATTTGGATTCCGTTCAGACTGTAAACCAGCACACTGTTGGAATGACAACCAGCCAAGGTTTGTTAGTGTGCTAGGACATGTTTTCTGAGTGAGCGTATGGTGTGAAAAGGCCCAATTTTGATAATGGATGTGCCTCTCTGAGCTTTTAATTCCATGTTTAATTGGGCACAAAATTCAGGCTCTCTGATTTGGCGTGGGTGTTGGGCAGAATAATCAAACCTGAGGTACAATGTGTGGAATGGATCAGAGCTCCAACTTTGAGCTTTGGTTTTCCTATCTTTCAGAGAGAGCATCAAGGAAACCCCCAAGTGAAATCTATGGGGTTAAGCTTGTTTTTAATGACCAGAAAATTAAGAGAAATCTTCTTGATTGGGTTAGGTACCTGTGACAGAGAGGAGTGTTAAATAGTCAACAAAGAACTTTCTGGTACCATCCAGGCCACCAAATGTGGGTCAGTGGTGCATATCCTCCTCAACCCACAGAGGTGAAAAGCACCAGAGAGACCAGATCCCCGCATCCCTCGCCCTGTGACGGAGAAGTCTCTGTGTAGCTCCATCAGTCCCTAAAGGACCCAGTTACTGTCTTGCATGAGACAAATCTCTCTGATTCAACCAACTGACATACTGTCCCAAGGGAGTGGGGCCCCAGCAGTAAGCTGGGTCGATTATTTTTAATAAACTACTCATCACAAACCATCATTCAGGAACCAATGTTTCCATGGAGAAACATAAATGACGTCTTTTTCTGCTTTGTTCCTTCTGCTGTGATTCTGTCGTGCCTCTGGCTTTGGACTTATCCCAAAGGAGAGCAGAGACTTAGCTGGATACCAGTGGCTGAAAGTGAAAGTTACCCTCGAAGTGGCCCTGCCAGGGGCCTCCCGTAGGCAGCACTCTTTTTGGGGCCTGACATTTTCTTGAATTTTCGCTGTTATGTCTTCTCCAATCCGTGAATTTTTAGGTGAATGTTTTTAGTCCAGAAAACTTGGATGCAGCCTGTATTTTTATTTACTGCTGATTGCAGATGTTCATCTTAGTGAGAGAACAGAGAATCTATTAATTCTCAAGGCTCACAGAGAATTTATCTAAATGTTTCAGAAATGTTTTTAAAAGAAACCCCACTCTCTACCAGGGGCAAGGATTTGTAGGTAGGTCTCTTAGGGTGAGCTTTTTGTTGATATTTCCTAAACAACTTTGTTGTGCTGTCCTGAGCAATTTTCAATTTGCTTTAATCTCTGCTTCCGAGGGCTGAGTTGAATCACCCACTAAGCTCACAGATTTTATTTACCCATAGCTTTTTAGTTAGCCTTTGCTTTATATTTTTCAAAGTGAAATTGCTAGGTTCATGATTGTTTTTTCTCCTTCTTCTTCTTCTCCTTCTTCTATTTCTTTTATTTGTTTGTTTTTTCAATGGTCAGGCTTGAACCCAAGGCCTTAGACCTGCTAGGGAAATGTTCTACCCCTGAGCTATATCCCCAGCCTTCATTATTATTATTTTTTTAAATAAATTTTCAGACACATAATACTTGTATGTGGTTGAGGGCACGATGTAATGCTTTGATGCACACATGCATTGCATAGTATTCAAGGCAGGGTTGCCATGTTGCTATAGTTTGGAGCTCCAAAGGCTCCTTATTTGCAACTTGATGCTATTGGGAGGTGACAGAAAGAAGGAGTGGGACCAAGTAGGAGGTCTTATATCACTGGGGCCCTGGCCCCTTCATCTGCTATTTTGCCTCTTGACTCCACCACACGTCCCCTGCCATTCTGGGCTGTCCTCATCACAGGCCAAAACCAGCAAGGTCAAGTGGCCATGGACCAAAACTTCTGAAACTGTGAACTAAATAAACTGTTTGTCTTTATAAGTTAACTGTCTCAGGTACCTGTTATAGTAACAGAACGTTGACTAACATACTTTGTCTATGTTCTTAAATATTTATCATCTTTTATGGTCAAAACATTCAAAATCCTTTCTTTTAGTGTTTTTTTTTTTTTTTAAATAAATAGTGCATTGCCATTATCTATGGTCACCTACTGTAGGATAGAGCACCAGAGCTTATCCTTCTTACAGCCCTAACTTCCCACCTATGGACTGACATTTCCCCATCCTTCCTTTCCCCCATGCTGCAGTTCCAGATGGCTTTGTCATAATTACAGGTGTTTCCTCTTTTTAAAATATCTGTTGCACATGCCTCTTCTCACTTTAACACTTTTATTGTAAATCCTTTTTTGTCTGCTATGAACACAAGCTTCCTTTGGCTTAGCTTTGCTCCGGATATCTTTTCTCAATATTTTATTTTCAATCTTTCTGCATCAAGTTGGCATAAACTCATTTGTAAAGACTCTGACTTATTTTTTGTTTTTCAAAAAACACAAATAGCATCCAGTCATAAATCTGGGATGATTAAAAAAGAGAAGAAAAGAAAAAATTGTCCTCAGAACCAGGCTTTCAAATACTTTAAACAACCTGAAAATCCATAGGAGTCATAGAAATAAAATTAGTTCCTTTCTTTATTTGCCCATCTGGACTTGGGAGTTTTTCACACCCCAAGCTGCTGGCTTTTTTTTTTTTCTTATCTTTCAGGGAAATCTTGGACCACAGCTCCGAGATGCTCAGCCTTAAAGATCATCCCTAGTATGAAGGCAATAATGGTGTAACAGCTCTCCACACCCTTCAGGGAGTGTTATGTTTAGATGAGAAAAACATCCCTAAAAGCATTTGTGAGAGATGACTGAGTGTTTTTATCATCGGTGATAGGGACTTTTCCCCCACAAATATGTGGCATTCAATAACACAATCTCCTTCCCAGACTCCCTGCACGTGTCCTTCAAAGGTACTCTCCCTCCAGCCATGTGACCATTCAGCAGAGAAGCATCAGCCAGTTTACATAACAGCTGTTATGTGCGCGCTGACATATTACTTCAGGGCCTTCCGCCTATAATGGGTTTTTCAAATGTGTTGCCGTGTTCAGTTGATTAGTTGTGGGTGATCTGAAATGTCAAACTATTAGCCTTGACAACTACTGCCAAGGTTACTATCTTCAGAAAATATCTTTTTAATAATATAACTGTTTGTAAGTGGAAAAGGTGATGTTTGAAACACAAAGTGACAATAAGTATGGATTGCTGAACCGCCGATGGCTCCAGTCCCTCCTTCTGTTTACCTTGCCTGGTCTGGGCAGACACCCCGGGACCCCCTAGGCCTCTATGAGTGACACACACACGGATTCTAGGGTGGGAGATGGAAGGCAGAGAAGAGAAGAGACAAAAACTTTTCACTGGAGATTCTACCACCTTCCTCCCACCCATGGTTCAAATGTCATGGTTAAAAAGTCACCTCAAAAACCACTCACGGATGAACATTTCTGAGTTAGGCTTTGGTATGGAGGCAGCTTAAAATCTGAATTTATACATCTCAGACATGGAGCTGGAGCCAGCAGTGAGGGTTCCTAGGATGGGACCCCTCTCTGCTCGTCACTTTTTCCTCTTCGCTATATTCCTCCCCTCAAGGCCCCCCTGCCAAGGGCACTGGTGTTTTCAGCAGTCTTCTCACCAGTGACCTGCCTATGATAGTGAACCCTTCCCTGGCCTTGTCCTCTATATCGGAGTGAGATTTCCATCGCCTTCCATTCTTCTATCTGTCCCCTCCTCTCCTGATAAGCCCTCCCTACCTGACAGCTATTCCCAACCAGCAGGGGACTATGACTTCTCTCTGTGACATTCTCTAGAGTGAAATGGACACTATGAATATCACAGTGGGGCCCAGGGTAGCCGGGAACACAGCCAGGTATGCGGGACGTGTGATCATCCCAAAGTACGGGGTCAGGTGGCACTGTGATTGGCCCCTCCTGGAAACTTGATCTTCATGAGAACACCAGCTTCCTGGAAATTATACTTGAGCAGGGGGAGTAGGGGGTGCTGCACTGGGGAGAGCTGTAAAGCGAACCAACACCCATCTTCTATTATCAGAGTGACCCTGAGACCCATACAACCAAAGAAATGAAAATCCACAACTAGACTGAGCCACCAAAGCTACCATTTCCCCAGGCACCATGTCCCAAGTCACTGCCACGACCTGACCCTCACCAGGAAGGTTTCAGCTAGAGGCAAACACCTGTCACGATGTGCGCCCTCTAACAGGACTTGAGACTAGGTGGTGTTTTCTTTGTCTTGTGTTTCCCAGAAACAGCAGCTGACCTCTTCTGCAGCAGTCTGCTTTGTTCAGTGGGTAACGAGAAGAGGTTGTGTGGAGAGATGGAGCGATGTGGCATTTTATAATGCATGGAGACAGCGGAAGCTACACCTTTTCTGTGTGGTTTTTCAGTGTCACCAGACCCCAGTCCAAAACAGATGAACAGTGCCAGGCTGGAGGGGTGAAGGAAACTTTATCACAATTTAGAGGACACTGAGGAAGGCTGCCAGCTCTTGTGAGAAGCACTTGAAGACAAGTGTGGGATTTTCAGGTTCAGTATGATTCTGGCTTTTGCCGTGTGCCCTGCACCCCACCCCCCATCCTGGAATAGACTACCCGGAGACAGGGATGCCGACTCTCATTGGCATATTCCCCATAAGATAAATGTAAATTTCAAAAGAGGGCTTATTTAGTCATCTCTATATGACCATGATTAATAAAAATTGAATGAACATCAATTGTAGCAGATTTTAGTCAGAATAGGCACAAAGGTAGGACAGAAGAGACCCTGACTGGGCGTGGCCCTGAATGAGCTCCAGTAGTCCCCAATCAGATGGCATCAGGGGAGGGAGTTCTGCATGTGTGCGTTGCTTATTTGCACAGGTCTCGACTTCTTTTTGTTGAGAATAGTCTCAGAATACCAAATGCATAAAGCACATAGAATTACAAAGGGAACCGCTACTTGGAAATACAGTTATCAAAATGTTTTCAAGTGTAATGCAATAATATGTGCATTGCTTTTTTTTTTTTCCAGTACTGGAGATTGAACCCAAACCCTTCATGCTGAGCTACACTGCAGACCATCTTTCATATATTATTTTGACACAGGGTCTCACTAACTCACTAAGCTGCCCAGTCTGGGTTCAAAC